AGGTGGTGACGTATTTGCTTCCATGTGAGAGGTGACCATCAAGTCAGATGTCACACTGCAGTCAGCCAGTCAAAAAAACACTGAGCCCAAGGGACAGGCTGCTCGGCAAGGACGTATGCTTCCCACTATTCTGAATCAAAGTTTTGCTTGCACATAAGAGGAAGCAGCATCTCTCATCCTCCAGCATTAATGGTAAGAACACCACCCAGAAAGCCAAGAGTCCTGGTGCCTTTTTTCCTTTCAAAAATGTGGGCTTGGACACATATAAAAATTTACATTCATTATTAAACAAATATTTATTGCATGTTGGGAGACGCATGCTCTCACTGAACTGGTGTCATAGCGGAAGAAGGAAGACTTTATGTAGACTTTATGTAATAGCTACACAGGAAGTAGTTAGGTAGACAGAAGTTAACATATGGTGCTAAGTGAGTTGCAAATAATTAAGATGGTGATAAAGTAAATTATGTCTAGATAACTAATGTAAACTTTCTATTTAGAATTGGTGGCACTGAAGCTAAAACAGAGGAAATTATTTTTTTATTTCTTAACATCTGTTTCCTTTTCTAGAAAATGCGACTGCCAAACTGAGATGGTCTTCGAAGGCGCTTCCGGACCTTAGACTTGTGGAGACTGGAAACCTTCAGACATTTGTGTTGCTTGTGCACAGATGTGCACACACAAAGATATTGTAAGCATCAAACATTTTAACTGGTTAAATAAAGTATTTATGTTCAGTGAGTCTTAGCTATGAACATATTTAAGTTAAAGTTACCTTTTGGCTAGAAATTAAATATAGCTTTGAAGAATGAACCTTTAATATTTGGCCTTTGTGACAGAGGTATGCTCATTTTGTTAGTGTGCTGGCAAATGAAATCAAATTGTGTCCTCCGATATTTCACAATAGGCAAAATACATGAATCTGTAATGAGGCTAGGCTTGGGCTTCAACACATCCTTTCTTGTGATCAATAACAACCAAAATTCAAGCAGGCAGGAATTTTAAAAGACCTAACAAGGCCACTTGTTCTCCTTTACATAAAAATGGGGGAAAGGTGATGGAGTTAGGAATTTTTTTAAGGAAACATCAGTATTTTGACCCATATTTTTCATGAACCAGTTAACTAGAAAATTACAAAACCTGAAAAACTCAGATAAATTCTAAGGGGATTAATACAACACACACATGTCCCATTCCCCTTCCTCCGGCTGGGGCACATTTCTAGAATGAAAATGAAAGTCTCTCAAGCTGCTGAAAAATGAGGGCTTGTGAAGTTCAACTCTGTTAACTAATTATTAGAAAAGTAGAAATTGCTGTCGCCGAGAATCAGTGAGGTAGCGGCTCCCCCAACTCAGCGTTTAATTTTGTAGGACCTGGCTAGTTTCCCAGCAACACACGGGTCTATGGGGGTCCTTGAGGTAATTAAATATTCAGGCCCTCTTTGGTGTATGCAAAGTCTGCCAAAGAGGATAACCAGCTACAGTTAGAGTAGCAGTCCCACATTTCCTGTTAATTGAACATTGCAATACCGTGACCTATTCTCTTGACTCTGTAAGAGCCATCTCTACGCTTACATTACCTAAAGTACCTTCGAGACTGGAGGGAGGAAGAGCGAGAGTGCAGAAAAGGGGGAGCTCGTGCATTCAACACATGGGGACTCATAGGTGTCTGGATTCACGATGAAGACTGGTTCAATGTCAGTGAAAACAATGACCAATCCTCCTTTTATTTCCTGTAGTTAAGGTCCCATTTTCCAGAACAGGTTCAGACATCTTGCCTGAGATGATAAAGCTAGCAGTGAAGGAAGACTCTGGAGGTGCACGCATACGTCACCTGTATGATCGATCTACTACAGTCTAAACCTGTCTAACACAATTTTTGAGAGAAAGAAGAAAAAAAACCCATAGAGATTTAAAATTTAAACTAAGGACATGGTCCTGCCACGTTCCAGGAGCTGTTGGCGTTGCCACTCTGAAACCACAGTTTTTCTGTGTACGTAGCAAGTATCTACTTCTAATGATAAGTACCAAGTCCCCCATGAAAAGTGCTTGCCCTTTGAGTCAGCAATGCCAGGCTGATACAAAATACTTAACATCCGAAGGAGGTGGAAGATGAGGCACTCAGTTATTTTATAGACTATAAGTAAGTAGGACAACTGAACCAATATAATAGTTTTCTCATTCCTACAACCAAGTATTTGAAGAAACCCGACAGGAGGGTCTAAGAGCAGGACAATAGGAGTTGTTGTTCGGTGCCGTCGAGTCTATCGACGGGAAAATAAAGGAGGGGAGAGAGAAACATCTGACTTCTTTTATTAAAGTTTAGAGACTTTGGGGAGCCATAACCTCTAGAGGGTTTGAAATAATGTGCAACATTACACAGAAAACACTGGCAAAATTTGGAGTTACACATGTGCTTGGGTGCTTCGTAAAACATGTGCAAAAATGGAACTATAAGATGATGTGATTGTCTAATAACTGTTTGAACCCTCTTCGTACTAGGCAAACAAGAAAACTGCACGCATTAAAAAAAAAAAAGTCTTCAGTTTAGAAAACTGCATGGAAAAAAAAACTTAACAAATTCACACAACAAAACCCAAACTAACCAACCAACCCAAAAATCACTGCTATTGAGAACGAAGTGAAACTGCCCTGCAGGGTTTCCACAGCTGTAAATCTTTATGGAAGCAGACTGCCACGTCTTTTTCACTCAGAGCAGCTGGTGGGTTCAAACTTCTGATCTGACAGCAGCCAACCACGTAACCACTAGCCACCAGGGTCCTTAACAAAGTCTTACAAAAACCCACACCAAACCCACTGCCGTGGGGTCGATTCCTCCTTACAGGGTTTCCGAGACTGTAAATCTTCATGAAAGCAGAAAGCCTCGTATTTCTTCTGTGGAGCAGCTGCTGGATTTGAACTGCTGGCCTTGCAGTTAGCAGCCCATGCATAACCCACCGTGCCACCAGGGCTCCTCAAGAAAGTCTTAACTACCTTAGAATCTGATTATGAAGGGGGGAAAAACAAGAACATTTCTCAAAAATTCTTCAGAAATCATCAAACTCTATGAAAGCTGCAACTTATTCTTGGAGTAACTGGAACACTGTGGACATTTTAAGCGGCTTGTATTATTTCTGAAGGGTCTAGTTCCAAATATCAAAAGTCTACATTCTAGTGATTCAACATGACAGATAAAATGGATTTTGCCCCCTTTCCCAGTTCCCTGTTGTTTCAGAATGTTTGCAATATATATATATATATATATATTTGACATAACATGAAGTGTGGCCTCCAAACCAAGAAACTAGCCTCACCATCCTGGCAGGCTCCAGCCACCAAGGAAGATGAAAATGAGCCAGGTGGAGAACTTGAAAAATGGAGGTCCTTACTGGAAAGTGCCTAACAGTAGTAACGCACACTTGCTTCGGAATCAAAGTCAGAACCGAAAGCTCCACATGGCAAAAACAATGTGATCTAATTTACAGCTTACCTTAGGAAGGTTAGGTGAAACTTCATGTTTGCTGAAAAAGAATATTTGTAACGTCTACAATGCTAGGTACCCTGGATGTATTTTATAGCCCCGTGCAGTTGTGTTCATAAGTTGTTCTTTTAAAAAAGCAGCTTGTAGTCTTTTGGCGCAATTTAAGACAAGCTGTTGAGACTAAATCCCTGGGCAAGGACACAGTGGTTTCAATGAGAGTATAATTCAGATATTAGTAACTTCTGCTTTCCCCATTTTGGCCATTGTACAAGACTAGAGAATCTTTGGTAAGGTCATCTTCGCTGAAATTTAATTTCTCTAACTTTGAAGCATAGATAATTGTGTTTATGTACTTATCTCACGGAGGATAATAATTAGGAAGATGCTCTGAGACAAGTCCAGGGTAGTCCAATGTTCGATTCATTAAAAAAGAAATGCACTGTTCGTTATATGTCTTAATAAAGACATAAGTTATAAGCAGATGTCATTCCGTTGGTGTCAGACTTCAGGGAACTCTGCAGATCAGACGAGGTGACAAGCTTCCTTCTTCGCATTGTAGGGACAGGATGAGCTGCGGGGCACATTGATGCACTTTACGGAGAAAAGATCCGATGGCCTTGCAATGTGCCAATTTACAATTTAAGCTGAACTTCAAGAACCGCCTTATTTTTTTGCTATAGGAAGTAACATTCTCATTTCAGCAAGTATTTAAGCTCTGAGTAGGCACAGCATACCTAAAGGAGCTAAAAAGATGGTTAAGAGATCTTCTGGATTCGAAATTTTCATAATAGTGGGAAAACAAAACTTTACACAGCAGCAATAATGATGCATAATTAAAGCTCAACCGTCCGAAGTTCATGGTTCAAAGAAGTTGGAGCTGTCACGGAAGGGCCCACGGAGAAGATGAGTTGAGTGAGCCCTGACAGGCAGCACAGGTCTCCCCCACAGCCTGTGAGGGCAGAGGGCGTTCTGCCTGCCATAGCATCCCCTCAACTTACACTGCATTTCCACTCAGATCTACATTTCTCTGGGAAAGGAGGAGCCTCCGTAATTAACTGAACCTGACTAACCCTGACTACATCCCATGATGAGGACAATGATATGCAAATGTTAAGTGACTATGACATCATCTGCTATGCATATTCAAACATATGGAAAAATGAGCAAATTTGTCGTACATACACAATTACTAAATAGCTAAATTGACAAATCCACTGAAAAAATTTGAGTTGTCAAGCTGATAAAGCTAAAAAAAAAAAGTTCCGGTGATGCATAGGACAGAGTCAAACTGCCCCTGTGGGTTTCTGAGACTGGCAATCTTTGCAGAGAAGAACGCCTCATCTGCCTGCCATGGAGAGGTTGGTGGTTTCAAACTGCTGACCTTGTGGTTAGTAACCTAAACTGTGATCAACTATGCCAGCAGGGCGCATAAATCACCCGAAAGTCGTTTAAAGTAACTGATAAATGATTGCTAATGATGGCTAATCGGAAAAACAGATATCGATGGTATCGGAACGTACCTGCCTCTGGGGCCAAGCCGCTCTGAGAACGGCCTCCGTCCTAAAGAACACCAGGAGCTTGCCGTCCTCCTCGCTCAGGTGGAAGCACTGCTCCACGAGCCGCAGCGCGTGGATGCGGGGCCGCACGGGCACCGCGTCATCCCCGCAGAAGGGCCGCAGCCACCGCAGCAGGTCCTCCGAGGAAAGCAGCTCCTCTCTGCAGGGCAGAGCGCAGGGTGAGGAAGGAGCGAGCCCGCAGTCGTCCCACCCACCCCCGGTCATCACCCCTGGTCAGTATCTTTGTTGGGCGACCCTGACTCTCCTCCCGAAAGGAAGAATTTAGATCGTAGCTGGCACAAAGCAAACCATACTAGGTACTGAAAGGGATGCAGTTGAACCATGGAATCGGATGTAAACCGGGGCCCCGGGGCCACCGGAGTTAGCAGGCCGGACTCAGCCGCCTTCCAGGGGAAGGAGAGGTGATACACGCTGCCTGCCTCCGTGAGGATGGTTTCACGCTGCAGAAACAGCCCTATGGGAGTCGCAGTGAAAGCACGACTGCTATCCCAGGAGGTGGGCCATCTCAACCCAGCGGTGCCTCCATGGGGGATAAACTTGGCAGTGGGCTTCCTTAAAGATTTACAGCCTCGGAAACTCCACGGGCAGTTCTACCCTGTCCTCCAGTGCCGCCGTGTGTTACAACGGACTTGGAGATGGTGGGGATCGCGTTACAATTTTCAAGTCATTAACCAATATGTCCTCATCTATCATTGCTGTTGCTAGGTACCACCGGGTCAGTCTTGACTCACAGATCCATCCTTACAATTGTTACACTTGAGCCCATTGTTGTCATGACCATGTCAATCCATTCTATCAAGTTTTCCCTTTAATGCTGACCTGCCACCTTCCCAAAATGATAAATACAGTGAAGCCTCGTTTATCGCGGTTAATCGGTTCTAGACCCTACCGTGATAAATGAAATTCCGCGAAGTAGGATTCCTTATTTGTAAATCAA